AAAATTATAATCTAAAGACCCTATTGTTCTAACTCCTCAAAACAATATTCTTAGGTATAAATTGATAAAAGCGTTGAGTTGAAAATAACAAAAAACTGATCAACATTTCACATTCAATACTATCATAATATGACCCTAAATTAATAACATTTTATTGTTTCAGTTTTAAAATAATTATATTTTGAATCTCATACTAAATTCTTATTTTATACTTAAAAAAACTAATTAGAATCATACTACATATAATACATATTTTATTTTGTAAAAAGCACCAAAAAATATTTGTTGAAATAAGTAAATGCTTTTTTCAAAATTAAAAATCTTTTTAAAATAATTGTTTATTTTATTATGAAATCTAAGCACTATAGATTACAGATTTTAATGAAAAATAAGCAGAGTAATAGTAAGTTTAATGTTATGTACAACTGAGAACTGGATGATTGTACTGATCCGGCTTCAGTCTCTTCAGTTAGTATAATTGTGGCCCCGGGACTTAGATCGAAAAAATCTGCTGTTAATATTGATTTTCTAAGAATATTAAAAAAAAAAAATATCATTACATAAAACATGTATATTATCCTATATTATGGTATAGGTAGTATATAAGATTGCTATAATTAATTTATGAATACAAATAAATTATTATGTACTAACCCAGTGTCAAAATTCGAGTTTACTGATCCAACAACAACAGTTAAAGAATCTTTTAAATTTGATATTTTGTCTGATAAACGTACACGCTGTGTATAATTTGTATCCATGTTGATAAGTAACGTGTAATTCTCATGTCCTGGTAAAAATCTGTAAAATTGTATAAAATCATTTTTAATATTAGTATATTTCTAACAACGCGTACATTGTTTAAAGATAAATGTATGAATGCCATATTCATATAATAAATACAAATTTAACCTCACAATAAGTATCATAAATGAAAATAGGAAAAATTCAAGAGTAAAATAAATACTATATAGTTTTAGGCCTTTCTTTTTTTCAATCAACCAGTTAATAAACAATATATAAAATACTTGCAAAATAATAAACAATTGATTTATATTCCTTCCGTAGGCAAATTTGCATTTACAGTGTCAATGCAGGATTAAATGAATTAATATAACACTAACACAATTACGAAACAAGTCAATTTCATATTATATAACATTTCAGACTAAATACAAATTGCGTAGCGTTGTATTACTAAAAATATTTATCATTGGATATTTCTTAAAATTATTATTCAGACAATCAAATGAAGTATTTTAGTGAATTTATATTTTTTGTCACAAATAGATCGAAATTGCGAATTTAAATGAATCCCCTACGTTTTGTCGTTAATTATATGGACGATGGTGAATAGTTCGGTGCTCAAAGAATATTGTAGTCATATAATTTTAAACTTAATTGTTAACTTCTATCATCGTATTGTATGCTCAGAGAATGGTGCAATAATGGGCACTACTCTAGCTCCCCTAGTTAGTTTCCTGACTAAAATTTTGTTTTTGTTGTTCTAGTTTTATATTTAATTATAAATTAACTTATGCATTAGTCATTACTAATTTATGTTAAAAAATCTGATAAGATAATAGTTGTAGGTCTCCACAATTATAACAATTTCTGCACCAACATGCATATACCTAATAAGTTATATACTCGTTCGAAATTTTTGTAAAATTTTGTTTTGAAATTTCTATTATACGGAGAATTCAACAAAAACGTTGCAATTTTTAGTTACGTCCATTTTTTATTCAGTCATTAATGTAAAAAAAACTTCAAAAAAATGCTAACGATAACAATTATAAAAATAGTTAAATTTTGTCGTATAATAACTTAAAATTATTAAAATTATTCAACAAAAAAATTATATTAGTTCGGGAGCTAAATTAGATATATCGAGCATTGCTTATTTACCTGTTCAAAACAAACACTGTATCGTTAAAAATATTAGTTGCCAACCCTCCTCTTTTAAACGTTTCAGTCTGCCGTAATTTCGATACTGATTTGAAAAAGTTCAAATAACTTTTAGGATCGGAGCTTTCAGATTTCACATTTCTCGTGACATAATCTGGGTGTACTGCAACCCACGGTTCATGCGTTCCATCAGAGAACCCTAAATAATATAGGCAACGTATTATTCAATTATTAATGTACAAAAACTGTCAAAACAATTTTTTTTTAATATTATCATTTTTTTCTTATTATAGACATTCACATAATATTTTGATCTATGTATTCCTTACCATAGCAAGTATAATTAAATAATTTTAAATATTTTAGTAATATTTTAAAACGTACAAATAACAAAATTCTATTTTAATACCTACAAGATTGTTATTTTTCATTAGGTAGGATTTATAAATAATTTAGTAGAAAAAAAGATATATTTAGATTGTCCATAATAGCTACATGTACCTATGTGGCTATACATACTCCTCAACTACCGACAAAATTTTTGAATGTATATTTTAGATTATGGGAGAAATGAGAAAACTATGCAAAATAAGTCGCCCAAATGTTTTTTTCAATATTGTTATATAATAACTCTGAGTGTGCCAATAAATGAACAAAATATTCATGTGACTTACCTACTTTGTAATATATTGGCTTCCAATAACTATCACAAATGACAAAGTTCAATGTTTATACATTTCACTTTAAACAATTGCTTGTATTTTAGGTGTGGCTATAATAAGGTAGACTATGGTGTCCAGACCATTGTCACATTATTGTGGATTTCGATACGTGTTACTATTTAATAAACTCGTATTGGGCTAATTAATCATATTTATACCTTTCTGCGAGGTTTGCTTTCACATTTTAAGTGTAAATAATTTTGAGTGTAGACATTTTTTTTTCTAACCTAACCTATTGTACAAACTGTATTCAATTTAAACTTAATCATGATGAATTAAAATTATATGTTAACTACTGCATTTCAAAAATGTTAAGACTTGTAACAAGCATAAAAACCAACATATCGTTAAAAATCGACGTAAAATTATAGTGTTTGTATCTTAAAATATTGTAAAATATGTCAATTCACTCAAATATTAAAACAAACAATGTAACAACACAACATTGGTTCTGACAACACTTACCGGTGTAACTTCCACTTTAAAATATTAAACTAATTTACGGCTACAATGCTACATAGATATAAGATGTTATTTGAAATCGTAGTGAGTGTATTTTTGACACGTCTTGACTATAAAACCACTATAATAGGTACCTACCCGCGTATTTCGTGTCGTCCCACTGCATGGGTCCTCTTGCATAATTAATTCTATCTGGTAAGTTTTCCATTCCGATTTCTCCACCATACAGAACTATGGATACACCCGGTAGAAATAAGGACAAGGCGTTAAGTCCATCAATTAATTCTGTACCGTAAAAAGTAGGAAATCTTGGATGGTCGTGGTTTTGGAACTAAATTATTGCATTGAAACAGAATTAAAATAATATTAAGAGCCATAAATAACGCATACAAGTTGATATTATTTTAAAGAAAACACTACATTTTTTTGATATATATGAAAAATAATTAAAATTTAAAGTTTTTAAAATTAATTAAAAAATATATTCATAATTAATAACCGCGGAAATGTCGACATTCAATAGAAAGTGGTGTGAATAAGGTGGTACAAATAGTTATTAGAATCAACCATTTACAAATACGTAACTGATGATGATAAAAATGTATTATCATGTTCAAAAAAAGTCTCATAATACATTTTATACATCTCTATGCTAAAAAGCATCACGAATTTAATTGTATATAGGCACCTCGTACATATACCTGGTACAATTTAAAATTAGTTAAAAATGTATAGTATTTAAAAATAAAAGAGTAATGTACATTTTATGTAAGCAATTATTATTATTGTTATTAGCATTTATTATAATAATACATTTTACCACTGAATTAAATGTTGATCCAAATGGCATTTTAGTTATCCATTCTTCTATTGCTCTCTGAAAACCTTCCGGAGTACTATTATGATCTTCCATTAAATTAAAATTTGTTGGTACTTCAGCTCCGCTAGTGTAATACTTATATAAAATACTGTGATTACTGTATGATTCAGTCATTATTATCCTGAAAGAAGTATTTAATTAAAACTATAATGACATTATTAACTATTAGAACCTAAATGTATAGTTAGTAATTTGTAGCAATAATTAATCATACATATTGTGTAGTTTGTAGACTTTAAAATCCATTCCGAATATTTATAATGGCTAAGTTTACATGTATGCTATTTAAGATTTCTTTAATTACGGTGGATGTTTTTTTCATGTTTACTCTCAGTAATACACCCTTCATACACACTATATATTATTATCTACCCTAAACATTAGTTTCACAGTGATAGTGACTTGGTAAAAGACATTTTACTTAGCAAATAATTGTCTCAGTTCATACAAATATAAGAAAACCAATTCCATATAGGGCATATTTAATATACAAAAATCATGATTCAAAAAACTATTAAAGTTTTCGAAAATATTTTTTTTACTTAATTTTAATTAATTAAAAAACAAAAAAGGGAATGATTTAAAATCGATGTATGAAAATTGAATTTTAGAAGATAAGTTAATATGGTATTAGTATTTAAAATTTTAAAGTAATGATAAGAGGAGTGGTTTGGTGTGGTACCCCCTAAAATGGTGGTCACGTGTTCCACTCATCAAAACTTTTAACTCACCATAACAATATATAAAGGTGAACAAGTCAGTACTGCGTATATTTGTATACGCTATACGTATAATAATATATTACTTTAATCTATATTATTTGATTTCATTAAAACATGAGTCCACATACCCAGGTATATAAAAATGTATATAATACTAGAAATAGTTCAAGTAGAAAACCTGGTTTAAAGTTATAACTATATTATAACAATAAAATGATTTCTCAAACCTTGTACGATGATCTTTTTGTTTAAATTCATCTAGTAATAAATGCCATTCTTTAATCAAATCATATACTTCATCTTGGTCTATTGTATAAATATGATCTAAATTAATGTAATCAACTTCTGGATTATTATTTTTTAATTTTGGTTCGTCTTTCAATGATTCGCTTTCGTATACATGTTTTAACGCATCTATTCGAATACCATCAATTCCTAATTCTAACCAATAGTTCAAAATATTCTTCATTTCTTCGTGAACTTTTTCGTTACGAAAGTTTAAATCTGGTAAATTTTTAATAAACTGAGTGAAATAAAACTGTTTGCGAGTATTATGCCAAACCCAAGAACTGGCGTTATCACAAATCATTTGCTAAAAAAAATTAAACATTAATTAATAAAACATGTATAATTGCTATTAGAGATGAGCCAAACTGTTCGATGTTTGAAAAATTGAACCGAATTTATTTAGGTGTTTGGTTTGAGTTAAAAGTAGACCCTAGTTCTAAAAAAACACACCCAACTCAATTTGAACAAAAAGTTAGAAATTTAATATTCAATCCGAACTCCAAAAAAAAATTGGAACACGTCATTTTTAAATTATTTATATAATATTATGTAACTACATAATTAGTTGAAATTTAATTTAAACATTCATTGAATTTATACATTTACAAGGGGTGGCAGAGCAACAAAAAATTAATTTCTGGTAGAAAATATTCTGAATATGGCTTTAACGTAAGTATAATATAATATATTACTATATAATTATATGGTACAATCCTAATATAATATTTAAATGTACAAGATGATTTGATTAAACACTTAAATACTCTGCATAAATTAAAATTCATACATTACCCAGTTATTGGGAACAATGGGAGTTATAGTGTTATTTTTTATCACTTCCGCTTGATTTTTTGCATCTTTCCAAATATAGTAATCTGCGTAACGAGTATCTTTATTGACAGACCTTTTAAACCAAATGTGTTTATCACTGGTATGATTAGGTACAAAGTCCATTATAACTTTTAAATCTAAAACATTATTATTTTGTATTATATTTAGATATAATTATAATTGAGTTTGGTTCAATAATATATTGACGTGTTGTTATGTGTAATACATTGTTCACCCACTTTTTGAATGTGCAGCGTTTAAAAGATCTTTAAAATCATCAACTGTACCAAAAACATTTTCTACTTCTAGATAATTGGATATGTCGTAACCACCAGATTCTAAAGGTGATTCGAAAAATGGCGTTATCCAAATTGCGGTTACCCCTAGATCGACGAGGTAATCCAATTTTTGAGTTATTCCTGATAGCAAAAAACTATTTGTTTAACCAAATACGAATAAATATCAGTTACAATTTGTAATACCTTTAAAATCGCCCGATCCATCACCATCTGAATCCTTGAATGACAACGGGAATATTTCGTAAATTATAGAATTTTGCCACCAATCCAATTCACCAATTGGTCGTACTATTACTTTACAATACGTTAATTGTATGCAAGTAATCAACAAAAAAGTCCAACGCATCATTGTTATCACCTATGACTATCTCAAAACAATACAGTAATACTGAAATGGCTTGAAATATATGTTTCAAAATGATTTCAACATTACTACTACTCGTATTTATATAGGAAATATCCAAAGTAGAAAATAATTATTTGTTATACTTATCTAGGTAATTATAAAATATCTCATATAATACTAAATTAAATATATAAAATTGGTTTAAAAGTTAATACAGACATTTTTATTGCCTCGTTAATAGAACTATTGCATTCAAAATAAATGATAAAAATCGTAAATACTTAATATTGGTTCTACATTATCTTCTCTGCTAATAAAACTAATCATAGTTTGTTAATCCACTGTATGTTCCATAACTCTGAATTAATAGATTGTATTATTTTTAGTTGTGCCATTAAATATAAGTTAGGTAAATAATAAAATAATAATTTACATTGTTATCTTTTTTTTTTTTTTTAAAATTGTTGTGGCTTATAAATTTAAAGCAGCTAACAGTTTTGAAGCTGTAATTGAAGTTCAAACTTTGTGAAATAAAAATTAAGAATTAATAAATGATTATAAAATTAGAATTAGAACATATATAATGACAGATTAGCTATATTCAATACATATATTTTGGTATGGTTTTAAAAAAATGAAGAAATTTCCTCATATGCTGGCAGCATAATTCAATATTGTATATAAAGCAATATCAATTTGATGGTTTTGTAGGTCCCACTTTAATTCAAAGCCTCGTGTAAGGTTGGCGCAAGTTTCTAAATAATAGCATCACTAATAAACATTTTTCCTTTAAAAATATCTAGGCATTAATTTTATCCAATCATTGAACTTTGATTATTGAACCATTATAATATCACCATTGATAAAGGTACGAGTATTTAAGTTCGGGATTTTAAAATCCAACAGTTGAAGTATACTAGTTGTCATAGTATTTGAGAGTTAATTCGGTTAATTGTAGAATATGGAGAGGTAGTATGAAATTTTTACTATGCTAACGATGAATTATAATTAGGATAGACTGTGCCCAAAATAAGTTCCTTTCTTTATTGGCAAGTTTTTCCAGATAGATCTTTCTAGCCATGATATAGTGTGCATTGAGAATACCGATTATATTGAAAAGTACTTTGAAATTTCTTCTTTCAAAAATAACTCGATATTATACTTTATAACCAGAAATCTCTTTCGAAGTTAAGATCAATGCATTTTTTCTACGAAAAAATGAAACGAGTAAGAGTTTTCTAGGTATACAAAAATTGGACAAGAAAGTATCCGATCTTCTGTACAATTGTAAGAGTTAAGTGCTTCATCATTGAGTACCCATCCAAGGTCTTTGTAACGGATGGGTTAAATTCGAATACAATGATAAATCATCTCAAAAAAACGATTCTGATCGATAACTGTTTGTTAGAGTATATCACTCAGAAATAAGTAGGTATACATATTTATTATTTTATGACAATATATTATTTTTTTTTTTTGAATTAAGGTTTCAATTACCAAGGTCATTAATCTGACTTTTGGTACTGTTTGAGGGGAACGGTTGGTCGGAACGCGTTTGTATGTGTGGTGAGGGTGTGTTGCTAAAAACCCGGATGGTCACCCATCCGAGTGCTAGCAACGACTGCCGGTACGTACGCTCAGAGCGTTGCTGCAGGTTGAGCATACGACTGCGCCTCACCAAGCCATGGCAATATATTTTTAATGCTATTTTAGTAATTTATGAACCTATTAAGAGGACGTGATACCTGCGTCCGCTGCTGCATGTGTTGTCTCTGTCTTACAAGTGCGTAACATAGCAAATTTTACGCTCAGCACAACACGTGTAGCTCCGTTAGTTAAACAATTAGTGCGAATTGACCTCTTATAAAATCTAAAGGTAAGATTATTTTCTAGTCAACCTCATAGGTTTTTTATTATGTTTTAATTTTAACGCGAATTATGAGTATTTTAAAATTGTAAATTTTTTATACATCTTAAAATACTTATAACTCGCGTTAAAATAAAAATATAATAAAAAGCCTACGAGGTTGCCTAGATAATAATCTTACCTTTAGATTTTATAAGAAGTCAATTAGCTTTAATTTTTAAATTAACGAAGCTACACGTGTTCTGCTGAGTGTACAATTTGCTATGTTACGCATTTGTAGGACGGAGACAACACAATATGCGAGTATCACGTCCCCTTAATATTTTGTTATTTATTATATTATGCAAGTTTCCCTCAGTTTGTGTCACCCGAACTTAATGATAAGGACATGTAATTAAGACTTATTAATAACAATGCAAATAAAATTGATACTATAATATATATTTACAGTTGTTTACAATATGTTTCTGTTCAATTATTATGGATTTAAATAATGCTAATGCAAGAAGTGTGCTTTGTTTATAGCCGTTTTAATACAATTGTATGACTGTTTACATATTTTAGTTTTTTTTTTACGTCATCGGCCGTGTGAGGATTAACGTTTGTGTCGTCAGCTAGTCGTTTAAAATATGATTTGAAGTGTTTGAAAAAATTGTTTGTTTATTTTCTGGTATACTCGGTTATTGTATGTAAATTGAAGTTTTTATGGAGATCTTCATTACGAATAAATCATGGAGTATTTGATATTATCCTCAGAACTTTTTATTGAAAGACTTGCATTTTGTTTATGTGAGTTATAGCACAATTGTATAAAATAATAATAAGAGCAGGGTTTGCTTATATCAAATATTTTAGAGAATATAACTTTAGTTATAGGGTAATCGTATGTTGAATTTATTTTGGCCGAAAACATAACATTTATTATATAGTTAATATTCAATTATTTTAATATTATGTATTATTAATTATATCATATATTATTGTTATTAGCTTTTGACTCAATACCGACTTGCCGTGGAGCAGTGATAATAGATTCATGCTATAAGTAGGCTATAGTTTAAAATGTATCTAAATAGTTTGAAAATGGCGTTTTTATTTTTTGTTAATTTATATTACAACAATAAAATATAATGATATACGAGAGTCATAATATAAAATTTCGAGTCTTTACCATAATTCATTTTATACCTACCTAAAACAAAAATATCAAAAAAATCAATTCAGTCTACAACTGGTTTTGTGTAAAAGTCCCTTTTTTCTCATTGTCGTTTCTAAAAGTATAGAGAATTTCAACAGATTTCACAATTTCTCAATGTTGGCGGTCTAAACCAGTGGTTCTCAACCCATGTGCCGCGAGATCGACTAGGTGTACCACAAGAAATGTCATACATGTATAGGCACGTGGCGATAACTATTACCTCTGGCGAAGTTGCCGAAGTTGCTATGGTTGTCAAGTGTGTGAGTGATGTGCCGTGAAAACTTGTAATGTACAATAGTGTGCCGTGAACAAAAAATATCGAGAACCATTGATTTAAACATTTGTTCTACAAAACCTGTATAAATTCAAAAAAAAGCACATCGTTGAAAAATTAGTACATTCAAAATGTATGAGAAATTAATTTATTATAATTTATTATAATTAATTATATTATTCTGAATATTTGATACATTTGCCATCTATTTCCACAACGATTGTGTTATTATAATATTATATCTTAATAGTTAAGTTTTATTAGTGTATAGTGTATACATATTATGCATTAGTAAACGAGATATGATTGTTTAAAATCAAGAACAGACCATTGTTTTAATTTATTGCTTTATTATATTATAAAGTGTTACAATCTATTGTCTGGAGGTACCAATCACGTGCTAACATATAGGAACTTATAAGTTATATTGTGCCATAAAAAAAAATATCTAACAATACAATTTTGTAGTATGTTATTTATTTATATACGTATTACAAAGTTATAAATTTGTTATGATTAGAAACTACTCGCTTAACTATACTACACTAATAATATTATAATTAACCCTAATAATTGTGCCTTAAAATATTTATCAGATTTAAACTATATTAACAGTGATTAAAATATTAAATTATTTTTTTTAGTATAGATTTATTTTATGTTAACTTAAAAATTCAATTCAGTTTTTATTTTTAAAAACCGTAATGTTTCAGTTAAATAGTAAAATTATTTAGCAAAATAATGATTATTATCCAAGTTGTTCTTTCTCCTAACCTAAGAATCTTCATTTTTTGAAGTGAGCCTTTATATAGTTACTAAAATAAAATTATAATTATTGTACTACAAGACAGTATTATTATTAGGTACTTAAGTACTCTAAAAGTATTGAGGTAGGTATCTCGAAACGAACATAGTTGAACTTGAACTACAAAGTTCATCTATATTGTACAAAATATTTTTTTATTTTATAAAACACTCTTAGTGTAAGATAAAATAGATTCTTTGACTAGTATTTCAAATAATATAGTATTAATTGAGATAATTCATAAAAAAATTTAATTCTTTTCAATTCTTAGGTAATAGTTAGTGATTTTATTATTGACATTTTCAAATATTCTGAAATTGCGTATTCAACATTTGTTCAGTGTTATCTCTTTGAATTTTAAGTGTACTATTCGATCGTTTTAATGTCAACAATGATTCACACTTTGATGATATCTAAACATGCCCAGTCGGAAGTAAATACTACATTTAACATATTTACTGTAGGTAAAAATTTAGATATTTTAAACATGACTCTTGATAGCTATGTTTTTTTGAAAACTAAAATTCGACGAAAAGTTCTAAATAAATAAATATAAGAGTACATACTTAGCAGATTAAAATGTATGGTAATTATTAGTATTTTAAAACAAAATATAATTGAATGCATTCTCAAATTAAATAATTCTGAGTTGGGTTTTTATAAATTTGATTAATGTAATAATATAGAACATAAAAAGGTACAAAATTAAAATAAAAGATACAAAATAGATTTCCTTATATTTACTTTGAAATAAAACATAATTAGCATGACGAAATGTCTACATTTTCATATTATAATAGTTTTCGTTTTTAAACATTTTTTTTTTTTTGATAGAGAGAGATAGAGATAAATTGTTTTTAATCCATCAGGAAACAATAGAATCCATAATCTTGGGTACAAAATACATTTCAAAATGCATATAATGTAAGGTACCTATAAATTGATTTTCGCGTTCAAAACCACCCCTATTGTGTAAATCCACGAGAAAAATAATATTTAAGACAACATAATGAGGATACCATATAGTATTATACCGGAGTATAGAAAATATTGCACAAAAGAACAAAATCCAATTATAAAGGAATAAAGGAATTGTATGAAATTATATTAAAATTACTATATTGTAACTAAAATTAAACTCAGATAAAATACTCGGAAAAACTATATAACATTTCACTTGTATTGAATATTTTAAAAACCCACCCGGCTTCCTTAAAAAAAAATTAATAATAATAAAATAATAATTATTATAGTGACAGAATACGGAAACAAAGTATTTGGCACTAGTCTTGCTTCTCTCGTCCGGCCCCGGTCCGTATTTTATTATTGTTTTCTATCTGAAAACAATGGTGAAACAACACATATTTAGAAGGCTGCATTGAATGTGAACTTAGAAAGGTTTACAATACTGTTCGTAAGTTAGATTATTCAAATTTTATGTGCCGAATAATAAATTATGACTAATAATAAAGTTTGTTGAATATGGAGTAATAAATAATATCACATGATATTTTATGCTTGTGACCTATTAAATTACCATAAATTAAAATATTAAAATACAATTTACTAAAAATTGGGTTAATGATCAATAATATTTCAATACAATTTAAATGTTTGAACTCTTGAAGTTAATATACGATTATACAGACAAATGTCTGATCCAACTCTCTAACTGTGATTGAATCAAGCAATTATATTAAAACTTGGACTGAACATTCTGATCCGAGATAAAAACAATTGTTTGAACTTAAAATGTTAAAAGGTTTCAAGATTGTCCAGATTTTGGTCAGTACAAAAGTTTTTTTTAAACACTATTTTTCCAAAATTCAGTATAACCGATTAAATATCAACTAACAACAAAGAATACTAAAAACATATAAAAGTATACACTTATAAAAATAATTATTAATTGTCAATCAATATCTATATGTATAAATGAACGTTTTTTTATTAGTTCGTGTTCTAATATTGAATAATTGATTAATAATATTGGGTTTGAAATAAAAATATTTTTTTTAAACAGCTCAGTTCCAAGGAATTTTTTTTATCATAATATATTTTTTTTTAAAAACCATTAAATTCGAAAATGATTAAAATGAATTATTAATTTCATTTTTGTAGAGGTTAGATTTTGTTCATTATTTTTAACTTTTGCACTGAGTTATATTTTGTATTTAAAAATGTATATTTGACTACTTACCTAATAGTTTTATAATTAATAAAGAATAATAAAAAAAATTCAAATTAATTTTAATTTAGTCTAATTGGTTATTAGTATTATTTTATTCAAGCCATCACCCTTAGACTACACAGCACAGTTGTAAGGACTTTGAGTAGTTGGTATAAAGCGCGCTTATAAACAATAGTTATCTTAATATTAATTAGTTTGTCTGTAGTAGTTCCCATAATATTAAAAAAGCAGTAGTTACCAATAACACCTAGGTACTGTTTCTGAAAATTATTGTCCATCACTTCCCAATTAATTTTAAATATGTTTCGTTGCTATAATAATATTAATATCATGGTAGTTTTTTAATTTTCCTTTTTTTCCACGGGTTTTTGAAAGAGCCACCCATTTTAACCGGAAGTGAATATTCGTCCCGGGCAAATCGTATGCGGCATTCAAATCCTGTACACGAAAGGCAGCGGTGGGGTTTTGGGCACAGCGAAAACGGGGCGGGAGACGTAAAATAAAAACAAATGAGCAATTATTATTCATAGCTCAGGCTTAGGGGAAATCCTTATCCGGTTCACTGCTGGCTGCGCACCACCGGGTGGGCAGAAAGGCCTAGATTTATGTTTGCAGCGTTTTTTCGGTGTCAAATTGTATCCTACGCCTGTAACGTTATGTTATTATAATATAATATATGTAATATCAGCAGCGCTTGGGTGCCCGGGCTCGGTATTTATTTATTACACGTCGTAATAACTGCGAGTCGCGCACGACCATTTTGTGTTCTGCAGACTGAAATTATTTTATATTTAATATTATCACGACGATCACGTGTGTAGTAGGTAGTTATAATCGTTGGCGAAAATTCCACGAAAGATATGCACTTGGGCGGGTGGTATACCAACATCGGAACTTATTCTAAAACCTCATACAACACTCACAAAAGTGTTTGTCTTGAACGCCCAAGTAACAATATTGATGTTTGCCTTATATATTTCTTCAGCAGTATTTTTTTGTTATTGTTTATCTTGAGTATGTAATTTGGACCAAAAAACCAAAAAAAAAATATATATTTGATTGGCGCAATCTTGTATTTACAAATACTGTGATGTGCGCCACTTTAAGAAAATTAATGATGATTGTTTTTGAAACATATTCATGTTAAATTGTATTTGATTCATAGATCAAGTTAGTTTTAATAGAAACATTTCTAGACAAATAATAAAGTAAAATAAAAAATGTAAAATATTTGTAATTGTTTTTGCATACGTACTTGTATATAAATGAGTAATATTTCAGTTAACAATCAAATATTATGAAAAAATAATATAATTTATTGTCCAATCATTCAATCGTCCATTCATTTACTAGCATATAACAGTCCATGCTATACTTTATTCTCGTTGGATACGGTAAAACCAATATAAGCTCGGTATATTTATCAGGTACATTGGAGCAATCGAAACTGAAAATGTGATTCAGATTACTGGAAATTACATGATGCTTTTTATATTTTGACTCGGATTGCGAGACGTACTAAAATCGGCTCAATATGCCATCTCCATATTTATCGTATCTATACACTTACAACCGATTTTGGATATTTGCGTCTGTGGTTATGATATGCGCACAACTCATCGTGACAATTTTGAATCATATTTTTACTATCACATGCACGTCACAGCGCTTGACTTCCGATTCCAACGGGTGATTCCAGGCGTCTCCTCCTGAACGTAGACGATACCACTCGTCTCTGGCAATAATCGAAGACAAGTATCACTCAAATGTGTCTTTTTGTGTGCAGGCATATAGGTTGTAATTGCCATTTAAAGCTGAAAGATTATTTACAAAATGCATGCGAAAGATAACGTCTAAAGTTTCAATAAAATAAGTCGGTTTCAAAGTAAAGTGGTACCACTTTAAACTTATTTATTACATTTTAAGCATTACCTATTCAATATGAGTGACTGCAAATTCTAATATACTATTTCGTATTATATACACACACTATTTTTCATGAAAAAACTCTGATGTTGGCATGTGACGCTTGGCAATAATATAAATTAAATAACTATTTGAAAAATATCTCTAAATTTTCATTACATGTACTTTGGAATACCTATACAATTACATTTTAGTCAGATTAATAGATCATCATTGGGACTGAAGTTAGTCATTTCAGAGATAAAGATATAACGAATGAACTCTAACGAGAATAAAAAGAAAAAACAGTATATTTACTAAAATATCGATAAGATTTAAATGTATATAACATGGCAACACATGGCTATTTATTTGACAAATTTTTGCAATATACATAGCTGCTGAAAAGTTGATATAGTTGTCACATTTAAATCACATAGTTAATAATTCGATTATAATTGTAATGAACAAAATCGATAGTTGTGGAGTCCTAAAAAATAAGTTTCCTTTTAAATTTACCGTTTAAAAAATGTCAGTTATGTCATTTAATAAAATTATCGTGTTATAGAATCTTAAAGTTTTTTATTTAGTTTCATAAAAAAAAAAAATGTTAATTTATTTGAACTACTTCGGAGTTCAAAACTCATAATTGTTTAGTTGACAGTGTACACTTTGACCACATAAATGACTCAAAGTATTTATACCCATATTTTTTCAAGATTAAAAAAAAAAAGATGTGATTAATAATTTTAAAATGTGTGAAAATTATTTATTGAGAAATACAAAACAAAAATAATTAAATGAACATTGTTGGAGTTTCATTAAAAAATAGTGTTCTAAACAAATCGATTCCAAAATAATTAAATATTTTTATTACGGTACGTTATATTGCAGCCTAGCGTATAGGGTACTAAAATCAAATTACCGAAACTAATATTTATCATGATTTGTTATATGCGAGATTGCAAAATATGCAAGAATACTTTTTTTTCGAACTTGACAATTCTTCGGTTCTTATACATAATTAAATTTTAATATTTTTATGTGGAATCGATTTAATAATTAGTATTAATTCATCAAAGTCATGATGGTGTTTTTTATTTTATTTTTTTGGTATTATTTTTAGATTAATGAATTCGAAGCAAATACAATTTTCGGCACTTCATAGAAAATAACATGCAAAATTAACAGTTATAAAAAATGTTAGCACTTAAGACTTTATATTTTTCAATAACATTAAAGATTAATTCACTCGTATTGTTTTAAAAGGTACAAAGCACATAGTAGGTATAAAATGTTACAATAATTTGTGCTTCATAGATAAAGCATGATATTTTATAATGTTGATTTAGTATAATATTGTAGCAACACAACTACTCGAGTTTAATTAGTTTTTTTCTTATGTACCATGACGGTGAATAACGAAATCATATTACCTATTTTTCGTATTATTATTATAATATGTAAGGTAATTGAAAATTGTTTTATTGTAGATACTGTCAAACAATTACAAGTTTATCGAAGGTTTCTATTCGCTTACTGATCACGCACAACTGCCCAAGAAACGTATTGGTTAATAAGACACGTCCGGACGGATACGAAATATGTAAACAATACGACGTGACGTGACACCAACTTAATTGAGTTGGTTAAATTGTGATAATTTGTTCATCCGTCAAATGCGTGTTGTAAATCATACGAATCAGCTGATATTGTAAACTGGTTTACAATAGATATTATACATTTATACGGCATACGATATCAATGCGTTACATTGTACGTCTTGATTTTCAAATCACACTATTTTGGTTACCAAATATTGTCCATTTATTCAAATTCCTGTGTTTCAGATATTTTTGTAGTTCGTAATATTATAAAAAATGTGTATAATATAAATATAATATAAACCGAGTTATCCATTTAACTCCTATGAATTTAATACCATAAGGCATAAATACCTTGTTATTAAATCAATAATTAAGTTGACGCTTTGTTTTCCTATACATTAACTATATTCTAGGATATCTTTATGTTCCAGTCGTCCAGAACCTATTCCCGAATAAAACTACCGATAGTTACACGCTCCATATTAGTAAGGTCACTAAATATGTAACAGCTAACACCATGTTCATCAATTTTGAAACAGCTATAATAAATATATTGCATTACAAGTAGCCATAGGTTGGTGTTTGGGGTTGCAGGTTCCATAAATGCCAGTTATGGTGGTGATAATTTCAACAGATTGGTCTCTCCGCAGAATTCAAAGACATTTATTTAAAAAGCAGACTTCTGAAACAAATTTTTTTTACTGAAAAAATCTCTTATTTTAACGGGGCCATTTCAGCTTACCATTAAAAATATCGGTCAAATTAAACCAGTTAAGCTGCTCCTAAGTTGATAATTTTTATTAAGAAAAAAAATTAAGACATTTTACGATATGTTCCTCAAGGGCCGTGAGACAATATTCAAGGGGAGCAGTACACTATAAAGATTTAAATTAAAATACATCATCACTGCAGGTTGAGGTATTCGTATTATTATGTAGTTGGTAAAACGCTTTTATTTCCAATACCATATAAATAAATTGTCTTTTAATCTTTTATTCAAATAATTAGAACAAATATAGAAACATAGAAAAAAATAAGAATAAAATAAGAATATTCATGTAGAGATCTGATTATCCAAAAATAAGAAAAAAATGTCTAAGCCTTTGATATTACCGTTCAATAGCATCTTAGCTGTATCCCGCAGCACCATAATAATATTTAATACAATATTAAAGCATTAAAATTATCTATGATGTGGTTTTTTAATTATATAGGTAAACGTAAAATATCATAATATTATTTTAATATAATTGTTATAACGTGACGTATTAATTATGTAGATAAAAGTAAAATCAATTCTGGGATGATTTTTATGTTCTCCCTTTTAATCTATCACAAAAATACCATGCAAGGACATAAATGATTTTATGCAAACAGGAGTGTCTTTTCATAATATGTCATCGCAAAAAACACCCACGAGGTAAGCACAACTAGCCGAATTGTATAGAGCATTATAGTCAACTGTGACTCCTCGTGATAGGTAATATTGTAATAAGTCCTCGAAGGTACTTATTCTAATTATTGTAGTTCCCTGGACTGTTAAACTATCTTATGATACGCTTTTTTTCGTTCATCAGAACTATTTTCGAAACAACGATGCGTTTACGCTTGCAGTCGGGTGCTAACTCATGTGTAGTAGCAAACAATTTTTTCAAAACATCCCGTTCTCTACCCATTTTAAGCGTTTTCTTCGATGTCCATTGTTCACTATTGATATCATCATCAAAATCACTAAATTCACTGTCCTTCATGAATAATTGAAAAATGAACACGGGAACTTCCAGAACTAACTGCTGATTGCAGCAAGAACAGCAGAAATAATGACGAAAAAATAAAAAGTAATGAAATTAATGCTATCGCAATATTTTCGTTTATTGTTTTAATATTTTATTATTGATATTTAGGGTCGAAAATGAGATAATTAAATAATAATAACATCCCATGTTAAAATCTTTTATCGCAGCAACCAATGAAATAAATTATATTTATATATTTAATAATACCTGTGAGGTATATTTTATATTTTAGTATTTTACGTTTACCTAAATACCTATACATAATAAATACGCCACATTATATAGCTTATAATAAATCCTTATAAAGATATACATCGAATTATAATACAACAAAAAGCATTCCAAATGATAATGTTCCAGTAATATTTCAGAAGATTTTGAAAACGATCTAATGACTATTCTATTTTGTACAGAAATCTGTTTCGAAAATATTTTAAAAACATTATCACTTTCAAAATACTATCTTGTGTAGTTGTGTAGTTTAGCCGAAATTGCAGAAATCAAAATGTTTTATATCAAGTATTTTTATAGCTATTTAATACTATTATCTTTTATTTAATTATAAATACATACATAAAAAAACACATAATATAACAATTTTTCCTCTGCGACAATCCTGTTTACAAATAAAATTATATTATTTTTAAAAATATATATTTTATGCTCTTCTTGTTTTCGCCAACTTTGACTTACATCAATCTATAAAATTGTTTTTTTTTTTTGGTTGTCCTACGTCCTATGATATATTATATTGCAAGATTACATAACCTAACATCAATACAAAAGAATTTATGAAGATGTTGTGAAAAAAATCAAACTGTTCGTTCGTTCTTTGTTTAAACGTACAACAGTTGTAGAATGTACATCAATGCTAATATTGTAGGCTGCAGAATACGTCACATTAAGTTATTGTTTTCGTCAATTCAGGCAAAATAGTAAAAGATCGGGGAAAACATAAAATTAGATAATATATAAATTCGGCCTAGAAAATATTATGAATTGCGAGGAAAATATTATTAATAAAATGAATATTATTTTATTAATAATTTGTTTGTAATAGTTATCTTTTAACATGATACAATTATGATACTATTTACCGTCTCAACCTTTTGTTTTTTGTATCGTCAATATATAAATTGAGCGTGAGATGTATAATGTATATTACGGATGACGATCATCCTGCAGGCAGTTAACAGCGTACCATTGGCATTTGTACCTATTATATATATTATGCAGTGAACAATGATATTATATATATTATACACATATATACATCATAGACGACGATGATATTCCATTAGGCGATTCCACCCAGCAGCATTTTCCACTCGGCATTTGGCCAACCACGATTCGACCACCCTAAACGGTCGGCGGACCAGTGACGGACCTAACGAAAAGGGGGGCAAGAAGCAGGAAAAGCTGCAGAGGAAATGTGTGGAGCGATGACCGCTCGGCGGGGCCCCGGGAATCGGAAATGCGGCGGGGAGGGTCGCGTGTTTACACGGCAATTCAATTAATGCTCGTATAGTGAAATTAATTAAAACACTCGCGATCGAGAATGACGATACTGCGCCCGCCTAGAACACTATCATTTTCTGGGTGGGGAAATTTGCAAGCACTACCGATGTATAATGATAATACTCATAATAATAATATGATATGTACGATATATCATACTGTGCATTATATACAATGTAATTTATTCATCACAATATCTGTGTACATGGAGGGAAGTAACCACGGGGGGGTGAACCTATAGTAATGAAAAGAAAAGTTTAATTAAGAGTTAGACACAAAATATGCACATTTAAGTCAATAAATGAAATACTCGTAGTTTAAAAAAGTGATAGACGTATAAAATAGTAAATACTGAATGGACGCAGCTGTTCATAGTATTACATATTTTTATGAACCAGATAATATAGCACGATAAGAAAGATCAATTTTAAATACAATCTAGTGTAAGGCGTTGCATTTCCAAGAGTACTACCCTAAAAGTACTAGAATATATTTTTAAATTTTTTGATATGCCCACATTTGACGATGTAAACGAACAATCGTTGAAAACAAGCATCGTTGTGGGTTTTTAAATACGATAAAAACAAAAAATGGGCTGAATAACCATAGCCACTTGTACACAAAATCATCTACAAGTATTTATGCGTACCCGTGTGCGTAACTCAGCTTAAGAATAGCTTTTGTGGTCACCTTCTTATAAAGTAAAAAATATTATATGAATGTACATTAGACGACCTTTTTTGATAAACTTACGAGTAATCAAAGCACACTAAAACTAGTTTGTGGAAACTCAAGAATTACAACGAATTTTGAGTTTCATAGAAAATTACAATGAAAA